AAGGATAGCATATGAGACTTTTAATAGTATTCTACGTAGTTCTCAATATGAGCAAAGAAAGTTTGTGTTAGTTCTCCTTACACTTTCATAACGGGGCTATGCTGACGGCCTTCGTTTCATGAAGTTAATGGCGGCGCTCTGTTCTCAATTTCCATATCATCAGCCAGGAGTGCCTTATTTTCTAAAAGCAGAGTCGACAGCAGTTATGTGACAGTAGCGTGGAGTCATTTATTCAGATCACCAAAGTGGTTCTTCCAACAAATTGATACTCATTTATCAACCTGAGAAGGAAGACAGACGAATGATTCAGACTGCGGCTTGAACCCGAAACCACTCGGTTCTGAGTCCGTCGCTTTCCCGACTGAGTAACTCTGGTCTGAAGGAACAGGTGGTGAATTCCTTGCTTGACAGAATACTAAGACTGCCTTCCGCTGAAATCGAACCTGGCACCGCCGAAGTTAGAGGCCGATCTCGTATGCACTCTGTCACCATGCCATCTATTTATACACAGTGGCCTCTGGACGTAAATTCTTTATTCAGTCCAGACTGGAAAGAACCTCCGGCAGTGTCGGAAAGCAATTCTCACATGTAAGCATTAAAGCAAGGATTGATGTTCTAATTCTAAAGTAAAACTCAACAGAGCTTGAAGTTTCATTATGACCATTAATCCCCAACAGAATAACCGTACATGGCAGATGCACATAATCAAGTGATTTAAAAAATTTACAAATTATTCTTCTATCAATATTCCAGTTTCGGTATCTCCAATGCACATAGCTGTTTTCTGATCGTTAACTGAGGTTAGCAGAACATAAACGGCAGAGTATGATGTCTAAGTAGTAGAAATGTTACTTCAGACTGGTCAGAATAGGCAAAGTTCAATCTGTAGCGAGGTAATATTCCTTTCCGCAAGCAGATTTGCCATAACAAAGTGTTTCCACGTTTTGTACTGTTCTTCAACATGTCTGCGATCAGTGCAACTTTCCTAGGAGAGAAGAGTCTAGAAATTATCTCCACACTAGTTTTATTAAACCAAGCCAGGCGCTGGTCTCTAAGCTCATCTGGTTGTTTTCTCAGACCAGTCGTCGTCTGCAGCCGATCAATAATTCATAGCGCGGTGGAACCATCTCACTTTGAAGATATTGCACAGAGAGCGTTGTTGTAAGCTGCCTAGATGTGCTTCTTGACGCTTCAGGACAGTATATATTTCGATACTGCACATGAGCGCCTCGAATACGGCTACTTGCAAAATGGTGATATTCCTGTCCGTCCTTATAGTCCGATCCTTTCAAATGTTATACAGCTTGCCACAATTCGCTGATGCCAGTTCGATACGCTGATTCACTTCAGGTTAGATCCGGCGGTCGTTAGTCAATACAGTTCTGAGGCACTTGAAATCGTCCACTCGGTCCGTCATAATGACGTTTCATAATATTCTTGAACTACCGGTAGCAGCGGGTGCTTCCAGTATATTAGTTTATTAGGTGTTCACTTGTAGCTTCTCTCTCATAATGGTGTTGCACAAGTCTTCAGTGCACGTACGTTCACACAGGCTTCTGAGGTGGCCTTCTGGGACTGTACTCGTCTACTGATGCTCTTGATGAATGCCCCGACGTGGATACAGCGGCCCGCCGATGACGAGGCTGTGCGTGGCACAAAAGCTTGACAGGCAGTGGCCGTTGTTAATGGCAGCACCACTGTCTCGTGTCGACCTAGCACGAGGGATCAGCTGTCATGATCCTTGCCGACCTGGACGTTGAGGTCACATGCGATGATCGATAAAGAGTGCCGTTGAAAGGAACCAAGAATCACATGAAGGCAGGCAGCGAACTGGTCCTTATTCAGGACCTCCGCAAAGATGGTAGGACCATTCACAG